CCAATCTGTATCAGAATAAAAGGTGACAGAGAAATGGATACCGAGAATACAGAAAGTGCCATTTTAATCATATACATTAAAACATCTGTGCACGCTACATTATATTTATGTGTCGTGTCTTTCGTATATTGATATTTCTAGTCCTAGGACTTTCGAATGTACTTTGTTCTGTATTTACTCTCGGCAACAGTACGTTAGCCGAGTGAAGTCGTTGGTGGAAAGCCTACCCGTGCAAAATGTTACAGTGAGCTCTTGTGATTGAAACATAAATTTGTTCGTCTTGCATGTGTGGTAAAGGCAATAAAGCGTCCACATACGCACTCAGTAGGCATTTTGCAAGCTTACTTGATCCTACTTTAATATATTGTATGTACAACATCATTAAGTAACTACGTTACATGATTAATTTTTAAATTGTTACACCTGTGTCACAATGGAGTCGTCCAAATTGTTCAGGAATCTACAACTGAGGTTGCTGAAGTGGCAGCTGATTTCATCATTCCAAATATTGCCAAAGTTGCTGCTGTCGCAATTGCCAGCTTCATCGTTAACAATCCCGATATTCAAGTTCTGTAGATCATTACCAATTACCAAAAGTACTGTAGCCCATATTATTATCGGTATTGATATCTCATAAATTAGTACTCTGAAAGAATTTTTATTAGTCTTATGAAATTTGCAATTGTTAAAAACTAAAAATATTGAAATATAACCTCTAGCTCGTTATACAATGACAATTTAGTACTACACAAGTATATTGAAGGAAACATTCGAAAAGGCAACATTCGAATTTGGAACAATTGCAATTTTATTTTGTTGACAAGAGCGTCTCTTCTGCGTTATTGATAAGTACTTGATAAATACTTACGAATAATTACGGGTAATTTGGATGCTGTTCTTCACAAATAGAGCTTGGAATCTTCTTAATCGTGAAACTTGTCTTTTCGAATCCGTTTTGTTTCCCTTAATAATTTGACTTATTAATGTCTTAAAATGATATAGATTCACAAAGCTTTTTATAACAATAAAAATCGTACATACTTTTAGTTGTTCATATTTGTTTTCATCGTGATTGAAGGCATCGCTACCAGTGTCTTGCATATTGGATCTCTGAGCTTCATTTAAAGTGACTGCATCATTCTGTGCCTCGCACAATTTCAGGAAAATTTCATCCAATGACGAGGATTGAAATTTCTCCAGTAATTTCTGCGGCGCCGATTCAGTTAACAATTTACCATGTCTCATTAAACTGACCTGCGTATCATCCACCATATACAATATTATGCACGATCAAATTTGTAACATTTATAATTAGGAAGAACACAGCGTTCTCGAAAAGAAGGACTAGTTCTTGCTTCAGAAGAAAACCTAGCTTATATAGGAATTTTAGCAACTTCTTTATATAAACAACTAATTTTTAACTCTGTCCTTTAAGATATAAATCAATTTGAAACATAAACGCCATTTAGGACCTGGCATAGGTGGTGGCCAATTAAATTGCTAAGTGAATTCATATACCGTCTTTTTCTACCCTGCCCTGCGTGCCGGATTGAGGGAGGTCCCAGTTTCGAATCCTGGCTGAGGTAATATGTTTCGTAATAAGAATTTTAACTCACTACAGGGAAGAGTTAACGTAATAATGTTAAGTATAGCATTAAAG